GCAAACTCTTTCGAACTAACCCAGACTAAGTCGCCTACTTGAAACTGTGAAGGGCGACGATGTTTGTTTGCTTGTCCTATCATCCTATGCTGGGCTTTCCTGAGGTTTTCTACAACAATAGTTAGTTCTTTCTCGTGCTGTACAGCGAACTCCCGGGTCCCGGGCGGCAATCTCTGAATCTGATCCCGATTGAGTCCCTCAAACGGTCTGCGCGGTCCAAAGGACTTGTGCAGTTCGTTGGGAGTGCGGCAGGTGGCCAGATGCACGCAGTTATTGTACGCACTAGCTACTTTAGGCAACATCTCATCCCAGTTAATCTGATATGGCCTAATATACATGCCCAGAACTTGTTGTAGGATCTTGTTCATTTGCTCTGTCTGACCGTTAGTCTCTGGATGGCGGTCGGACGACACCAACAACTTAGATCCGTATACTCCCATGAGTTCTTGCCAGTTCTCACTAGTAAAGCGACTATCTCTATCGCTAACTATAGACAGCGGGATTCCGTTCTCACTAACCCAGCAGTCAAAGAACCTTTGTATGACTAAATCAGTACGCGCCTCAGAAGGCAAAGGAACAAAAACTGCRTRCTTSCTAAAGCGGTCAACTATRACCATGACTTGGCTCTTGCCATGCCTGCTCTTGACTTGAGTGTCCATGAAATCTATTGACACTGAGTCTCCCGGCTGMTCCGGAATGGGCAAGGRTCTGAGAAGACCTAGCGGGGCGCGCGTAGAACTCTTATTACGCTGACAGACTTTGCAACTGCGAACATACTCTACGCAGTCATTCTTCATCCCTGGCCAGGTATACACGCGCATCAGATTGGCCAAAGTCTTTTGCCAACCGAAATGACCCTCTGTGTCGTGACATTCCTCCAGAATCAGACTACGGATCTCTTCGCTATTGGGGATGCACAACCGGTCAAAGACATTAGTCTTCTCGAAGAGTAACCCCCCAGTAGTGCGGTAGTTTGGCTCGGTCTCTGGGGCCTCCTTGACTCGCATGAGGAACTCACTATAGATAGGGTCCTGCGCGTAGGCTTCTCTAACCTTCTCTTGCAGATCCTTTCCTATATCGAGGTAATATACTATTGCCCCAAAGAAATCTGCTCTCCTACTCAGAGCATCCGCGACTACGTTATACTTCCCTTTGACAGGCTTGAGCTCGAAGTCGTACTGATCTATCTCTGCGGCCCACCTAGTAAGCTTAGGTGTCATCTTGGCCTGGGTCTTTAACCATCGTAACGTTTCATGGTCCGAATAGACTTTGGAGTGCCTCCCAAGCAAGTAGTGCTTCCAGTGGTCTAATGCTTGCCTGAGAGCGTAGAGTTCCCTCTCATAGGTAGATGTCGCAACCTTCTCTGAAGGCATCCTAGCGGACATGAACTCTACGGGTCTATAGCCATTGCCATCGTCTTGTTGTAACACTGCGCCTATGCCGTATTGGCTACCATCCGTAGTAACRACAAAAGGCAAGGACGGATCGACGACCTTAAGGACTGGATACTCTATCAACGTCTGCTTTAGCTTCTTCATGGCGGACGTGCAGTCCTTGTCCCACTTCCAGATTGTCTCTTTTCTCAACAATCTGCGAAGGGGCGCAGAGTAGGTGGAGAAGTTCCTTACGAACTTCCTGTAGTAATTCGCTAAGCCCAGGAACGAGCGCAACTCTGTCAGCGTACGTGGCGTGGGCCAATCTCTAATCGCTGCGATCTTGCTATCTTYGGGCTTAATRCCRTMTCCGTCTAAGACGTGGCCTAGATACWAAACTTGGGTCTTCGCCCAATCGCACTTCTTTGCATTGATCTTGAAGTTAGCTTCTCTCAGCTTCTCCAAGACTTGCCTGAGATGACCCTGATGCTCGTCGAGGGTCCGGCTAAACACTAGGATGTCATCTAGATAAACTACAACGAATCTGTCTAACCACGGCCTAAACAAATCATTCGTACACCGCTGAAAAGTTGCTGGCGCATTGGTTAGTCCAAAGGGCATCACTATAAACTCATAATGCCCGTACCTAGTCCGGAAGGCTGTCTTATACTGATCATCAGGGTGTACCTCTATCTGATGATATCCGGACTTTAAGTCTATCTTGGAGAAATACTTAGCCCCCTGCACTCGATCTAAGAGATCATCGATCCTAGGCAGTGGCTCAGCATTCTTTACTGCAATAGCATTCAAACCGCTATAGTCTATGCACATTCTCAGCTCTCCCTCTTTCTTAGGAACAAAGAGAACAGGCGCTCCGAAAGGAGACGAACTGGGCCTAATCCAACCCTTCTCGAGGAGTTCGTCTAATTGCTTGCGAAGCTCCTCTAACTCCCGCGGGGACATCCTATACACAGCACCCTTAGGAGTTCTACTGCCAGGCTCTATCTCGATACGGTGCTGGATGGGCCGCGGCACCGTGCCGGTCGGCAGCCGGTCGGCAGCTCAGTCAAATCCTTAAACTCTTCCAGCAGCTTGGCAATCGCAGGGTCCACGGCTTCTCTTCCGTAGGCTCAGTGATGGGTCTAACATAGGCAACAAAGACCCGTTCCTCTAATTTCTCCTTCTTCACCAATCTGGCGAACGCAGGGGCACTAAGGCAGCAATGTGCCGAGGAATTCTTTACTCCTGACACATGAAACAGGCGGGCAGTCTTCGCCTCGCCTGCATAACTAGGGAGTCTACACTCGTGCTCCTTCAGATGGAGCGTTGCCCCGGCTGCCTCTCCCCAATCCATTCCCAGTACTATGTCAAACGGGAGGCTGTCCTCTACGAGGATAGTCAAGGAGTGGAGGACCTTTTCCACCTTCCCATCTTTCTCTAGGCAGAAATACGCCTGAACGCCCTCTACGTAATCCTCTACAACCATGGTACGATTGTCCGCGAGGATACTAACTATGGGGTCTGTCAGTTTTTGGACCTTAAGCCCCAACCTCAACTTCTGCAGCGCTTGCTTACTAATATAGCTGTCGGTGGCCCCTGAGTCTACTAGGGCCCCTATTCTACTTCTAAAAATCTTTGCATCTAATAAAATCAGCTGCCCTTTATTCTCCTTCTTCATCTTGGCCCAGGCGGGCCTCCTCTCCTTCAACTCTTCCGCCACGCCTGTGAGGGAGGTGTCTAGCGAAACTCTAACACAAGCGGTCTCGGGACAGCTGTCTAGACACTGGCCTGCAACCTCTGCCGTAGGCACATGTGGTGTGGGAGTCTCCTACCGGCTAGCGCTATTTTCCCCACATGGCCTAGTGGTAGAGGCAGTTGCTACCCCTACCAGCGGCTGCCTTTAGGCTCTTGAGCAGTCGTTCGGGTCTCTCGATACTTAGGACAATATTTGATGATATGCCCCGGGTCACCGCAGAAAATGCACTGGCCCCGGTTCAATCGTTGTTGCCATAAAGCCTGGTCCAGACCCAAAGATTCCCACGGCCTACCCTGAGGTAGCCCTGGGTGCCATCCTCCTATTCTATAGGGAGACCTGTTCCTAGGACGGTTTTGCGGGGGACCTTGACCCCTACCTCCCGCTTGGCGGTTCCCTCCTCTGCCGCCAACCCCCTGATCGCCTTGGAACGGCTCCCTGAGGCCCGGCCCCCTTGGCCTTGGCCTCGTCCTCCTTGTGGCCTCCCTCCAGCCGCGACAGCAGCGTAAGTCCTCCCCTGGCCCACACTACCGTCCTCCTCCTCGAACCCCCACTCAATCTGGTCGTAGGGGATCTCGTCCACACTACCCTCATCTAAAGTGAGCACAAGGCTATCCTTGGTCTTGACTTGCCCTGAGATAATGCGGCCCTTCCACTTTTTGCCCTTGTCTAAATCTTTGTGCTAGAAGGTGGAAATCGACGCAGACTTCGCCTCGAGCGCGACCACTTCCCTGCTAAGTATATCATAAGTCATAGCAAGGTCCTAGCTCTTGTCAAAGAAGTGACCACGCAGCGTTTCGGGTATAGCCCGGTAGAAAAGGTTGACCAACTGGGTTTCCGTGACCATGTGGTCAGGAACAGCCACCAACTCATCCATTGTGCCCTTGAGTGCCCTTGCACTCTTCCATTGGCGCGAGTGTATTGTATGAAGCCTATCTGAGGCTTTGACACTACGGGCAACATCAGCGAATCGCTCGCGCAGCAGCTTCAAGAATTCAATGAGGGACGGAAACGGGAGTACGCAACTGGATCGTCACTACAGTTGGCAGCACGAACAAGGGATCTCGCGAAACTGACAGCCTCGTCTCTAAGTGCATGGATCGCAATTAAGACCTGCTGATCCGGGGAGACCTGTTGCAAATGCACATAGGTCTTAACATTGGCCTCCCAATCGTCAAAGTTCTCTTTCCTTTTCCCACTGTAGGAATCATGGAATTTGACTTTGACTGGCTCTCTGCGAGGACAGGCCTCCTCCTCCTTGGGAGCGGCCACCTTGACGCCTTCGATGACACCGACACAAAAACGCTCAGTCTTCTCGAGGCGATGACTCACCTCGGATCCCATAGCGCCTACTAGTTCGCGAGCAAAATCCCGCAATCCCATTCCCATCAAACGCACGGAGATCTCCTGGCTGCGACTAAACTCATAGTGCTTTTCTTGCACTTTAGCTAACCGGTCAACGCTCTAGGCGATGATCTCCACTTTGCGTTGGAGATCTACTTGCGGAGTCAATTGTGTTGTTAAGGCAGTCCTCACCTCCGCTAGTTCTTGCATTGCTGCATTCGCCGCGGTACCACCTCGAGTGGGCCCTACTCTACACGCAAAGGTATGCCAAAATCCCAGAGGAAAGAGGAGACGCTAGAGGGTCCCCCAGAGGGAGAACCCAACCAGCAACCCAACCCTACACGAAGGAGGAGGAGGAGAAGATAGCCGCCATCCTGCAGGAGAGGAAGGAGAAGAAGGAGGCCAAGAAGAAGGCCTTGAAAGAGGAACAGGCGGCCAAACTAAAGAAGATGGAAGAAGAGATGGCCAGGGAGAAAGAGAGGTTGAAAAAGGAAGAAGAAGAGAAGCTGAAGGAGGTGGATGAAGAAGAGGAAGGACCGCCACTGCAAAAAAGTGGGCAGCACAGCGGCAGCAGCAGTGATGAGATGGAGAAGAAGATTTCGGAGTGGGTCGCCAACTTATCCTTGGGTGAGGAGGAAGAGGTTGCTATGTACATCCCCAAGGATAAGCAAGAAGCCGTCATGAAGAAATGGGAAGCAGAAGAAAATGTTCTGACGCGGCGGGCGATGGAGGATGAACAGAGGATGGCGTGGAAGCTCGCAGTGATGAGGGAGAAGAAGAGAAGAGTGGAGGCGGCGAATGCAGCAATGCAAGAACTAGCGGAGGTGAGGACTGCCTTAACAACACAATTGACTCCGCAAGTAGATCTCCAACACAAAGTGGAGATCATCGCCCAGAGCGTTGACCGGTTAGCTAAAGTGCAAGAAAAGCACTATGAGTTTAGTCGCAGCCAGGAGATCTCCGTGCGTTCGATGGGAATGGGATTGCGGGATTTTGCTCGCGAACTAGTAGGCGATATGGGATCCGAGGTGAGTCATCGCCTCGAGAAGACTGAGCGTTTTTGTGTCGGTGTCATCGAAGGCGTCAAGGTGGCCGCTCCCAAGGAGGAGGAGGCCTGTCCTCGCAGAGAGTCAGTCAAAGTCAAATTCCATGATTCCTACAGTGGGAAAAGGGAAGAGAACTTTGACGATTGGGAGGCCAATGTTAAGACCTATGTGCATTTGCAACAGGTCTCCCCGGATCAGCAGGTCTTAATTGTGATCCATGCACTTAGAGACGAGGCCGCCAGTTTCGCGAGATCCCTTGTTCGTGCTGCCAACTGTAGTGACGATCCAGTTGCGTACTCCCGTTTACGTCCCTCATTGAATTCTTGAAGCTGCTGCGCGAGCGATTCGCTGATGTTGCCCGTAGTGTCAAAGCCTCAGATAGGCTTCATACAATATACTCGAGCCAATGGAAGAGTGCAAGGGCACTCAAGGGCACAATGGATGAGTTGGTGGCTGTTCCTGACCACAAGGTCACGGAAACCCAGTTGGTCAACCTTTTCTACCGGGCTATACCCGAAACGCTGCGTGGTCACTTCTTTGACAAGAGCTAGGACCTTGCTATGACTTATGATATACTTAGCAGGGAAGTGGTCGCGCTCGAGGCGAAGTCTGCGTCGATTTCCACCTTCTAGCACAAAGATTTAGACAAGGGCAAAAAGTGGAAGGGCCGCATTATCTCAGGGCAAGTCAAGACCAAGGATAGCCTTGTGCTCACTTTAGATGAGGGTAGTGTGGACGAGATCCCCTACGACCAGATTGAGTGGGGGTTTGAGGAGGAGGACGGTAGTGTGGGCCAAGGGAGGACTTACGCTGCTGTCGCGGCTGGAGGGAGGCCACAAGGAGGAAGAGGCCAAGGCCAAGGGGGCCGGGCCTCAGGGAGCCGGTTCCAAGGCGATCAGGGGGTTGGCGGCAGAGGAGGGAACCGCCAAGCGGGAGGTAGGGGTCAAGGTCCCCCGCAAAACCGTCCTAGGAACAGGTCTCCCTATAGAGTAGGAGGATGGCACCCAGGGCTACCTCAGGGTAGGCCGTGGGAATCTTTGGGTCTGGACCAGGCTTTATGGCAACAACGATTGAACCGGGGCCAGTGCATTTTCTGCGGTGACCCGGGGCATATCATCAAATATTGTCCTAAGTATCGAGAGACCCGAACGGCTGCTCGGCGTCTTCTTCCACCTCGAGGTCCGCTATGGCGGACTGCCTCCTCTGGCGGCACTTCAGCTATGGCCGATCGGCCCTGCACACATCGCGCGCATGGGACAGCGGGTACCTGCTCCGATATCAGTGCAATCAGACTCGACCTCTTCACACTTGTCATGCATGCAAACAGCGAAACAGCAAACTGGCGACATGCTCCCACACAGTGCTCAAAGATATCGTAACCAGGTAAGAGTTCTCTTCAAACTGGCTATGGCGACTGAGCGCCCACACAACTCACTGTTCGCACTCTGGCTCACCCTGGATGTCCCACACGCAACACTCTACACGCAACACACACACACACACACACACGCTACTATAGCTATGGCAGCTATGGCTGCCACTACCCTATCGCTACACTACACCTCACTGCCCTCTTCGTCTTCGGGCGCACTGCAAACCTCCCCGCACAAGCTGCTGAGGCAGCGCTTCCGCATGGCATCCGCAGGAATGAATGAATGGCTGGACGCAGCCTCTTGATTTATACTTCTGTGCGGCGTTGGTCTGCCCTGTATCCCTTGGCCCACGATGTGCACAGTCCCAGACGGTACCTGCTTGACTGGACCGGACTGGGCTACCTGGGACTGCTGACTCTACGTAGTGGACCTACACCACTTGCCCACTTGCCTCGGCCTAAACAGGGGCTGACTCCGAAAGGCCAGTTCTAGAAACTTTTACTTTGGCCTTTCGGTACTGTAGCAGCTACGACCTTGACCCTTCAGACATCCTACAGCTACGACTTCGGAACTGTCTAGACTCCTACCCTACACGTCTACAGTTCGATTCCCTTCTATGCTGTGACCTACGACAATCTACCTACCACTGGCGTTTCGACACGTCGCAGGTTCAAATCTACGGGTTGTCGTCAATACTGTACACAGGTAAGATGGGGAACTAGGGATCGAGCCCTGGGATCTGCATTTGCTACTGCGAACTGGTGAATACCGTTTCAGTAGTCTGTTGAGAAATCAGCAGGAAGACTGGTAAATAATCAACAGCAAACCGCTGAGAAGCAGCATCAACTTGTTGAGACTTCAGCTGCGAACTGTTGTCAAATCAGCAGCAGTTGTCTTCTCAAGGAGTGACTTCACCAAGTCGTGTGACCTCCCAGGCTTTCGGTACACCCTGCCGCCGGGAGGAGAATGTCTATGGTCTAATACCCCTCCCGCAGGAATCTAGACTAAAGATTTCGCCCACAGCTAAGTACCAGGTCCTGGGGCCCGCTCAGCACACACAAGTCCCCAACAGTTCCACTCACAAGTCCCCCACGGCCCACATACGCACTGATGCAAATAGGAAAACACACTGAGACTCAATAAACATGCGTACATACGTACTTGACGGAATATGAAAATCTTAGCAAGTCAGTCAATCGAGCAGCAACAACAGATTCCTCAGTTTGCGTAGAACAACAGATTTTCTTAGTCTGTGCAGTATAAAAGAAACAGCAGGTTTCACATGCCAGACAAACTCGGAAAAGAGGAGGTTCCTCAGCCTGAGCAGACTCAGAAACCAGCTGGTTTCTCAGTCATCAAAACTTAGAAAACAAAAAAAGAAGTGCAATATCCCGCCCCATATGCCTCGTTCTTTGTCTAGGGGCACCCGCAGGCCCGACGGCGTCCTACGGCTAAGGCCGCGCTGCGAACGGGGGAAAGGAACCCCGGAAAGTGAATTCAGGGCCCCTGTGCCCGACAGTTGACTAAAGTCAACTGCCCAGTGGCCCGTGAGTCAAAGTCTGCGTGGACCCAACTCAGGCTGCCGATCAGACACACATACTTGTTTCTATGCAGGTATCCAGACAACATTCAGACCAAGTGGCAGTCTGCAACTGTATGAGATCCAGGTCGTCGGTTGTGAGTCAATCTGAGCCACCGTGGGCGGGAGACCTGAGGCAGATCAACCTCATCAAACACTACATAAGGCCCCCGCCTCCAGGAGTCAGCATTCAGTCTTGTCGTGCTGACTTGGCATTGACTGTACGCTGGCCTGATGCTGGCTTGATGCTGGCTTGATGCTGGCACTGTGCGACGACGACGCGAGACTGCCGCGCGCGTGCTGGCAGCTACTTGCTCTGGCGCCAACCGTCTTCCGCTTGCTGATGTGGCGCATGCCACGTTGTCTATCATTACTGACGTGACATTTGCCACACCCTCTTCATTGCTGAGTTGGATGCGACAAGGAAGGGGATCCGGATCTCTGGATTGACTGAGAGAGAGAGAGAGAGGGATACCTACGTGTTGCAGATGTCGATACTGCGCGCTGCTGTAAGCCTGTAACGTCTTCACGGGAGAACTGTGCCACGTGGCACTCTGATGTGATCAGGCCCTGTCAGGCTCGTTTCTTCACAAATAATAATTAAAAAAAAAAAATACAAAATTGTAATGACCCGCCAAAAACACAGACAGAGAACACTGATGATTTCTGGGATTTGCTGCTGGAATGAATGCCTTGCTGAAATTCCCGCATTCTGCTGTGATTTCCATGTCTGTGTGTGTGTGCGTGCCTGCTGATTTGCATGCCTGTCTGAGTGTTTGTCGGCTTAGTAGTCCGCCATAGCTTAGACTTGTGAGAGGTGGAAGAAGGGGGAGAATCCATAGCTATGGTGGACTTGTTGTTGTTGTTGTTGTTGTTGTTGTTGTTGTTGTTGTTGAGTCAGCAGTAAGACGGAACTTCGGATATTGATTCTGGTTCATCCACTCATTGTTATTATTATTATTTGGAGAAGAATAAGATTGGCGAAGTGAAGGAGGAGGAGGAAGGTGGAGAGAAAAGGGGGAATTGTCATTGGTCTTGCTGGTGTACATCTCCTTCTTCTTCTTCTTCTTCTTCTTCTTCTTCTTCTTCTTCTTCTTCTTCTTCTTCTTCTTCTTCTTCTTCTTCTTCTTCTTTTTCTTTCTCTCTCCCCTGGTCTCTATCTCTTTGCAAGTGCTTTCATTTCTTTCGCAATTGGGTGGCATTGTCTTTCATTGTGAATTTGCACTTTGGAAATGACCAGGATCGTAACAAAATAAAATAAATAGCAGCAGAACAAAGAAAACTGTAGATTTCCCAGTTTCGTGCAGACTCTGAAAACAACAGTTTTTCTCAGTCTGTACAGACTCGGAGATTGGGGACATCTTCTGATATTCACAACGAATTACTGTTAATAGCAGCAGAGAACCGCTGTTGGGATCAGCAGTGGCCTGCCGCTGAGAACATCAGTGAGCCGCTGTCCAGATCAGCAGTGGGCTGCTGCTGAGGACAGCAATGGGCTGTTGCTGAGGATGACGGTAGGCTGCTATGTTTGCATCACCTTTTCATGGCAGATCGTCTCCCTTTTCTTCCAACTCTTCTCTGCCCCTTTCCTTCTTCCTTGAGCTCGTATGCCTCCTCCGTGTTTTTCCCTTCCTGATAGTAGTTGGATGTGGTGTCCACACCAGGTGAGTCAACTTTCCCTCTATCTCCTATTCTCCTCTTCTCCCTCTTCTTCTTTACCTCTCTCCCTTCTGTTACTTCCATTTGTTATTTATACCTTCTCCTCATCAGTGATAATAAAGATTAATGACAAAAAAAGACGGAATAAAATCTGAACAAAAGATAAAAAACCAAGCTAGTATTATACTTAGCCACCCTTTTCGACCATATGCACCTCAGGCCGAGGCAGAAGAGGGCAACAACTGAGGGGCTGTAACAGACTGTTTCGTTAGTCTTTTACCAACTCATGAGAACGTTGAACCTCCTTTCTACTCGTCCAGTCCTCCTCTTACCCTTCCTCTTATCCTCTTCACAATCGTTTCCACCCTCTTCGACGCCTCCACCCTCGCTGCTTCTGCATTCAGACTCGCATTCATTCACACTTCACATGTATGCAAACAGGTTGCACACCAAACTGGCGTCAAGCGCCCACTCAGAACTCAGAGATATGGTGCCAAGAACCCAGTTCAGATACAAGTTCACTTCCACTGGCTATGGCGGCGCATCGCCGGTACAACTCTCTTTTGTCATTCACTCGACACTGCTGTTCGCACACAGGATCACCCTGGATACCCCACACACCACACACTCTGTACACTCGCACACGCACACTGCACTTCACTACCAGCTATGGCGGCTATGGCCGCTTCTACTCTATCGCTATGGCTACACTACTCTCCGTCAGCCCACGTCAACTTCGGGCACATCTGCAGACCACCTCGCACAAGCCGCTGTTGGCAGCGCTTCCGCATGGCTTACGCAGG